CTTACTAATTATTGGTCATTTTGATTTATCAGCAGGTGCACTTTACTTGGTGGATCATCGAGTACATTTAAATATGTAATAATCCGCTCAACCTTTTATATTAACCCCATGAGTAAAAGGCCCTACACCCTAATATGGAGGGAAATATAGGTTAAATTAGGGATGGCAATTGAATCGAGCGGCTCGTCGGCTCGTGAAAAAACGAGCCCGAGCCCGAAGTGAGCCGCCTGCTCCGCTCGCCCACGGGCGAGCGGCTGGTGGACTCCTCTTTGTGAAGGTAACTTTTTTTATTTTTTTCAGAAAAAGGTATATATCGTTAAAAAATAACGATAAAAAAATTAACGAACTCGCGAGTCGACCCACGAGTCACGAGCTCACGGGCCGAGCCTAGCTCGACCCGTGAGTAACGAGCCGAGCTTGTGGGCGGCTCGGCCCATTGCCATCCCTAGGTTAAAGATCATATTTGAGAGTGCTTTTCCAAAATTATATTTTATCAATATATTTCGTAAGATTCACAATTTTGTTTGTATATTTTATAAAACTCACGACTTATAATCTACAAAAAAAACTTTGCCAGGAATACTTTTAATCAAACAAAGCCAATCAACACGATGTTTCAGCACCCATTAAAAGAAAAACCTAATGCAACCCACCACATTAATACATCAAATCACTAATTGCCACATGTATGCCCGATGTACAAATAACATTTCCCTTTTCAGGTTTAACCTAATTATGCTTTTCGATGCAACATATGTTGGGATTTGAGAATTAAAGAACCATAACAGTAAGTCATGGACTAAATGTTCAAAGGTTCACACTACTTTTCACTAAAGGAAATTACCATAAAAAAAATAAATAGTAGAGGACTCGATCTTGTTGATGTTTCTTCTTACATTCATCACTTCACTTTCCTACTTACTAATTATTGGTCATTTTGATTTATCAGCAGGTGCACTTTACTTGGTGAATCATCAATTACATTTAAATATGTATTAATCCGCTTAACCTTTTATTTTAATCCCATGAGTAAAAGACCCTACACCCTAATATGGAGGGAAATATAGGTTAAATTAGGGATGGCAATTGAATTAAGCGGCTCGTCAAAAAAGAGTCACAAGCGGCGTGGGCTCGTCATTAAATTAGGGATGGCAATCGAGCCCGAGGTGAGCCACCCACGAGCGAGCGGCTCATGGGCTTGTCTTTGTGAAGGTAACTTTTTTTATTTTTATCAGAAAACGGTATATATCTTAAAATAATAATAATAATAAAAAAAAATTAACGAGCTCACGAGCCGACCCACGAGCTAACGGGCCGAGCCAAGCTCGTGGGCGGCTCGGCTCATTGCCATCCCTAGGTTAAAGATCATATTCGGGAGTGCTTTTCCAAACTTATATTTTATCAATATATTTCGTAAGATTCACAAGTTTGTTTGTATATTTTGTAAGATTCACGACTTATAATCTACGAAAACTTTGCCAAGCATACACTGAAGTATGCTGACAATTTCATGAGAGTCTTTCTTGACAAAGCTATTAAAACTCATATTATTTTTAATCAAACATAGCCAATCAGCATGATGTTTCAGTACCCATTAAAAGAAAAATCTACCGCAACCCACCATATTAATGTATCAAATCACTAATCGTCACATGTATGCTACGTAAGACTACTACAACAGTATACGACTGCAAATAGCATTACTCATTAAGACACTTATCATTAGTAAATAATTATAAAAAATGGTTAAAACCGTGCTCTGGGATGGCATATTTATCGACAAAAATTTATCCTCGAATCTTGTACAGAAATTCTAAAAGACACTATCTAACAATAGTCACATCAGTAAGTCAGTGTTGGATTGAGTCATAAAGTTTAGTATCGATTCGGGAAGCATCTTTCCTTTTATACCAATAACATAATCTTTGTCCCATTTAAAATAGAAATGTGAGTGTTGAGCCTCGCATGCACACTGAAAATGTCCCAGATGATCCGCACACACTTCAAAAATTTATTTTAGTAACTAATAAAATGTAAAAAGTTAATTCAAGATTTCAATTCCTGTTTGAACCACCTTAAAATTTTCATTCTCATTCTTCTACTCATTTTCAACCACACATTTTTTAATAAAATAATATTTTTCATTACATTAATAACGTTTCCTTGACAATCAATTGTATCAGTATCAGTATTGTATCAGTATTGATAATTCTGGCTAAAATCGTCGACTAATATTATTTTTCGCATATCATCTACGAAAGTATCGTTGACAATTATAGACATAATTTTTTTCCGAAGATTATAGACAATCATTTACTGTTTCTGATATGTTAATCTTTGTTTCATCAATTACTTGTCGGTTCGATTATTTCTTTTTATTTTCTAAGTGTTACTTTTAAATAAAAATTCATTGTTTCATTTCCTAAATATTTTTATTTATCGACCATTTACCTTTTCTAATTCCTCTGGTAGCTTATTAATTAATAAAGTTGCTTTTCTTTATTTAACTTCAAGAATTATGCCTCATTTCTGTCATATGAACTTCTTCTAGTTTTTCTAACAAATATTATTTTACAATATGTTTAATCCTTGTATTAATTCACAATTTGTTTCAAGAAAAAAAAAAAAATTCTCTTCTAATTAAACAAACCTTCGAAGATAATTATTGTTGAAGTAAATTAATTTTATTCGCTTTTTTTGGTGATTAAATTTGATGAAAGAAATTGATATAATTATGCATTACACAGCACTCATACTAAGAGAAACAGATAGCTGGATTAGGGAAAACAACACACCACACACGATCACGAACACGTACACGGACACGGACACGGACACGGACGCACGAAGCTAAGACTCGAATCCAGAAGATGCGCGATTTGACGAGGCCATCATTTTGCATGGTCTTGGTCGGGACAAGTTCCGGCACCTGAGATTTACTTCTGGCTGGCTTCTTGATTTGATCCGGTAATTGATCTCCCAGCAGCAAAGAACTTTGGTTTGAATTGCTCAGTCCGAAGTCGAGCACCTTTGCTTAAACTAATAAAAGATTTTGGAGCCTTAATAGCAGAATCGATTGCAGTCTTATACAACTCCTTCCCATAATCGACCATTCCATCTCTAGTTTTTTGCAGACTGTCTACTGTTTCCAAGTAATAATCTCCAGCTTCGGCAAACCTATTTACCCATGCCGGAAGCTTCGGCACTCCCAGCTTTTTCAACAACTCATTACTGAAATCGTTACAGTTTTTCGATAGCCAGTGGTACTTATCTCCCTGCCACTCCTGGCTAAGTTCTTTTAGGATCTGACTCACTTTGGCGGCGGAGCAATTTGTTCTTCCAAGAACTACACGTTCACGGTATGTGAACATCAGGTTTCTACCGGCGGGACAACTGTAAACACCAGAGCCTTTTTCGCACTGCCCATATCCCCACTCCTCGTCGCCGTAAACCTGAACGGCGGTGTGGAAGACGCCGCCCATAGGGATGGCCTCTTTACAGACGTTGTTGAGTTGAACGAGGGCGAAATTTAGGGTTTCATTGCCGGAACTACTGCTTGTAACGTCATATACGTGAACGATCACTTCAGCCATTAAGTTCAAAACGCTCGGTTTGTGAGTTTTCCTTGGTCAAGTAGAGTAGAAAGCTTGGAGCACTTGCTGGTACTGGATAGGGTATATAAAAGTACATGAATATGGAGGGAAAAAAAAAAAGATAATTGAAGTGCGAAAGCAAGGAAATAACATGACACTTTCCCCCCGTCTTTCGTGGTAATTACATGTAATTAAGATGCATAAGAGCATCTTTAACGATTGTGTAAAATTGTGTGTAAATAAATTTTTTGAAAATACTTTAGCATCCTCGTTTATATATCAGTAAATCTAAATTTAGATTTTACTCCAATAAAAATATCTAATTTAGCCTTTGCTTGGAGCTGATTCTTCAACTCTAAAGTAGAAAAAAAATTACCATTGATTGAGAAAGTGGGACCCACCTGTAAGACAAACAGTCAAAAATGGTGGCTGAGTTTGGAGTATAACGATCAAATAATGTATTCTTTTAGTGGAAAAATGAGCTCCGGATCTACTTTATTTTATGATTAGAGATGCTCTAAATGTGTATTTTTGTTAAAGTAATTTTATTAAGGAGCTTGTTTTTAATAAAAAACATTTAGCAAGTTTTAATGAAATTAAATGAAATGTGTGATAACATTGAAGTTTGATCCATTAAAAAATATATAAAATTCTAATAAATAAAGTTTATAAAAGAAGCATTAAAATTGATAATATGGAATTGGAGTAGGTAAATATTTGAATTAACGTTTTAGCAAGCATTAAGTAAGGACGAAACCAGAAAAGTAATTCAATGTGTGGCCACTGACAGAAGAGTTACAACAATGCTACATGTACAGGTGCATTTCACAGATTTTTTCACAGACGACACTTAGCAAAATTTCACTGGAAGTTGGAAGGGAAAAAAAAATATTTCCATTCAGGTGCTTCTAACGCAAAACCTGTAAAGGAAAAGCCTGTATGTGGGGCTTTTTTCAAAGAGTTATACTGCACATACTGTGGCCCTATATGTGCAGTGTTATTGCAGACAGAATTAGTGCTCGTTAATGGAGACTCCGTTACTTTGGTAGAATTAAGTCGAGAACTACCAATTATCTAGAAGGGGTTATGCTACATGTATAGAGTACTCGTCTCCCCGGCAATGTACAGGGTAAATTGCTTTGTACAAGTGAAATAATCTATCTAGAAGAGATTTTCTCATATTTAAGCCAACAAATTATCCTATTATTTAAAGAGAGAGCCATATAAAAGAGAAATAATGAGACGGAACCTTTGAACTTAAGGGAGTGTATTCAATTAAGGTTTTTAAATATTTCTATAGACTTTTTAAGTGACTTTGTAAATTTTATGGATTTCTAAGTGACTTCTATGAATTTGTTAGGAATTAATAAAAATCTTCCATGGACTTTGTAGACTTTTATTAAAGATTTTTAAAGATTCTACTTCTTGTAAATTCGTTGTATACTTGAAAAATTATAATCTTTCTTACTACATAATTAATATTTTCAAGAATCATGATGCCCAACAATCTGTTTTGAATAAAGTCACTAGTAACGATCCAGTCATTCAATTTTGGTGCAAATAGAAAAATAAAAATTTTTACATCAATTTCTAAGAACATAACAAATTTTTTTTCACAAAATTAATATAAATTCCAAGGACACAAATTGTTCTTTAACAAAAAAAAAAAGATTGATTACACAAAATTCCATGTTTTGAAACAATTGCATATAATTAATTCAAAAATAATTATGTACATATAGAATAACCATAAATTGATTACAACATATAAATTCAAGAGATATGAGAAAATCCTATAATTGAAAGAAAATAGACGTTCTTTTTTTGGGCTGTGAAAATCCTATCATATCTTAGAGTATAATAATTTTTCTTTAAGATTTGCTATTTATGTTTTTTACCAAAAAGTCTTCAAAAGTCTAGTAAGTAGAGAATTCTCCAAAAGTTATTCTCTATTTGAATACATCATAAATTATAGAGACTTCTAAAAAATTTCAATAAAATACCATGTAACTTTTAGAGAATTTTTAAAAGTACTAGTCTATTGCACGGACAATGTGATTACGGAGGTAATGTTAGTAGAGGTAATGTGATCACGGGGGGCAACGCTCCTGACGGGGATCAACATGTCCGATCAGGTCGCGGGGGTCGAAAGAGCAGCGCCCCTCGTGAGGGCTCGGGGGCAACGCCCCCGAAAGGAATTTTGATTTTCATGTA